TGTACTTAACGGGGTGCTGTGGGGCAATAACTTGGCTGTTTGGAGCACTGAGACAAAAGCAGTATCTTCTATGTTCTTTTTTGAGTACCATAATGGTCTTTTTGGTTGTATTTGGGGGCTACAAACTATAGAAAAATGTCTGGTCAAAAATTTTGGTAAATCAGCAGCCCCAGAGGCTATATTTTGCTACTGTGAATCACAGTCCCATCAGTTCTTTCATAAGCTTTAAGTGACTCCAGTATTTAACCATTTTAAATTTGGATTTTTAAATTAAACAATTGCAACAATATGTTTGTGAGTACAGTTGATTCCCCTTCTGCAAGGAATGCTTCCAGGAGTACAGCTGATGCTACCTTATCACTGTTTATTGCTTCCTTTTTACTCCTGTGTTAACGTATCCCCACAGTATTACAGTAGGGTAATGATACAGTTTTCAGATTTGTTCTTTTACCTGGATTGTAAAAGCATTTTTAGAAAATAGCTAGTTTCCTTGTTGTTTGCATGCACCAACATCCTCTGATAGCCTGCTATGAACCTGTTTTGATATCCTAATGATTTACAAAATTAACTTCTCTCTTTGTTTTAAGTAGCTTCAGAGAGTCTCTGATCTAAGTTGTCATTGTGTGCAATCTGTCTACTTTGAATGTGTTTCTCTTTTTCTCATCTGGTGTTATATGAATTTAACGAAGTCCCATGCAAATATACACATACCTATATAAATAGCTATGATATGATATTTATATTTATGTTTTTACTGTGTGACATTACAAATACCAAGTTTATTTGAAGTTAAAGATTGATTTATGTCTTTATTTACAACGTGCTGGAAATACATAATTTCAGGTGAAAATAACTTCAAAATTTTTCTTATAGAGTGCAGACTTACTAAAGGTATATGAGAGTTCTGTATTTGAAGAACCTCACAGAAAGCTGGTGAAGTACTTGTATTAGATTTCAACACTGAATAATTGTAAGAAACTTGAAAGCTATGAACAGGCAAAACATCTCTGACCTTGTCTGGAGTTTGGCCTTCTCTGTGGAGTGCAGGACTCAATTCTATAGGAAGACCTTGCTCACTCTTTTAATATGTTCTCTTTTTATTGCTAGCATCGTTCTCCATTCAAAAACTTGCATTTAATAGGTTGCATAATTGCAAGTATATAAAATGTGCATGAAATCCTGTACTGATTTCTGTGTCATTTCAGTATGTCCCAATTTAATTGTTATTCACAGCCTGGTTTAGAGGCCCGTATTTGTTCCAGAGTGTTTGCTATCCATCCTAGTTCGAATTTAGAGACACAGAATTGTAGAAATTCTCCTCATAATGATTTTGAAATGTTAATATTTTTATGAAATAGAAATGTTCATACTGGTTCTTTGGTCCTTTGTGCCTTCTGGTGTTTTCTACCTTCCCTGTTTTCACCTTCTAAATCTCACTATATGACAGCTGAAGATATTATCACTTTAAAATATTATTTTCATTAGAAGAAATAGGCACAACTGAAGTTGAGGGAATTTGATAGGGATCTTCTGTGTCTGCAAACATAACCCATTTCACTGAGGACTACTGAGAAACTTCTGTCTTTGTAGCATGTTAGGATTTCTTCTGCTGTCAGGTGAATATGTTATCAGGTATATATTCCATAATGATATCTTAAAGTTTTTTAAAAACTCAGTGATTAAATAACGTTTTCTTCTATGAGAATTGTAAGATCAAATTTTAATGCCTAAGTTTAACTCAACATTCTTCTATTCTTGTCTTTTAAATTGAACCAGTACTTAAGGTATCATTTTTCTTGAATTGCTTTTCTGCATATAGAATTCTTTTTGAAATCTCTGAAGATGGTAGGTAAAAGGGGAGGACAGAAGACCATTGCTTTTTTCAGCAGATTTTCCAACTTTAAAACAAATTTTAAAATACTGCCAGTTTGACATGTATTTGATACGTATCTGAGAATTGAAATATTTAACTCTGTTGTTAATTTATTCTTTTATTCAGAGACCTACACAGCACTTGAAAGATTTGATATTATCTAGCTCTTTTTCAGTCAAGGTGCTTACTATTCATCTGTATTCTGGGTGTTCTAAATACCTGGACCTCTTCATAACTTATGTACCACTTCTGTGATCTGACTGACAGCATTTGCAGGCTAAACACAAGAATCAAATGCACTTGAGCCTTACTGTAGTTTGAAAGTTTGGCCCTTCATACCAAACAGTACATTTGCTAAGTGCAAACCAGCACTTTTTTGGTAATACATGTATGCATACATACATGTATACATACATACATAAATTGGCCTTCCAGTATCTATTTGCATATCTAGTATGTGAAGTTTGCAGAATGACCACAGGTAAAAGAAAGCGTATGTGCTCATGATGCATACACTGAATTCACTGAGTGTGTTTCTTTGTCTTTAATAGTATTACAGTGGAGGTAAGAACTATATGTAAGTGTGGTGGTTTGACCTTGGCCAGCTGTCAGACGCCCACCCAGCTACTCTCTCACTCTCCCTCCTCAACAGGACAAGGAGAGAAAATGAGATGAAAAAATTCGTGAGTTGAGATAAAGATGGGGAGATCCCTTACCTATTACCAGCAGTGGCAAAACAGGCTCAACTTGGGGAAAATTAATTTAATCTATTGCCAGTTAAACGTAGAGTAGAATGGTGAGAAACAAAGACAAAAACTAAAACACCTTGCCCTGCTCCCCTCTTCCCAGACTCAATATCTGTCAGTCATTCCCAACTGGAGGTTGGGCTAGGTGATCTCTAAAGGTCCCTTCCAACCCAAAGCATTCTATGATTCTAACTCCTCTCTCTTCTCCTCCATGAGTGGTGCAGGGGTTATGGGGAATGGTACTCTGTCCACAACACTTCCTCTCTGCTGCTCCTTCCTCCTCACGCTTTCCCACTGCTCCAGTGTGGGTCCTCTCCATGGTCTACAGCCCTTCAGGCTAAACCTGCTCCAGCATGGATCCTCCATGGGCATTAGTTCTTGAAAGGAGAATCTGCTCCAGCGTGGGCTCTCTGCAGGTGGCAGTTCCTTCAGGAAATATCCACCTTGCTCTGGCACAGGGTCCTCCATGGGCTGCAGTGTAGGCATCTGCTCCAGCGTGGTCCTCTCTACGGGCTTCAGCAAAACACCTCCTTCACCATGGTCCTCTCCATGGGCTGCAGTGTAGGCATCTGCTCCAGCGTGGTCCTCTCTACGGGCTTCAGCAAAACACCTCCTTCACCATGGTCCTCTCCATGGGCTGCAGGGAAATCTCTGTCCCAGTGCCTGGAGCACCTCCTCCCCCTTCTTCTTCTGAGATCTTAGCATTTCCAGGGTTGTTTCTCACACTTTTTCCCCTCACTCCTCACTGTTTGTGCAGCGTTTGCCCTTTCTTAAATACACTTTCACAGGAGCACCACTAGCTTCACTGATGAGCTCAGCTATGTCCTGCAGTGGGGCCCACTGCAGAGCAGCCCCTGACCTTTTCTCACAGACATCACCGCTGCAGCCCCAGCAGTACGAAAACCTTGTTACCAACACCCAATACAGCAAAATGGAGAGAAAGAACATAAAGGGATGAAAAACAGGTTCACAAATACAGAAATTTGTTTTGTTTTGTTTCTTAGTATGGTTAACTACTTTGTTTCTTCTAGTATCAGTTCAACTGCAATAAAGTTAATTTGAGGTTATCACTTTCCTAAACAAATGACTGGAGCAATTTTTGGAAAGACAAACTGAATGCATTGGGAGGAGGATGTAGAGTGTGTTTTTGAACTCTAAAAACATATGCAGAGAGATTAGGCTAGTATTTCTAAACTGAAAGATGGAAAGGGGTAAAGAACACTGCAGGTGAGTTTTGGCTGTGTAGACGGTGTATAGTGTGCTGAAAATACTCTTCTTACAATAAAGATGGCATTCTTTGTATACTTTTCCTTCTCACCTGTTGAATTACTTATACATTTTTGAATAATCTAATTTTAAAATCCTGCAAAAGTATTTCCTCTTTCCTCTTTCCTTACTGAACAGCCTTGTGTAGATTTGGACTATAGTTGAAGTGATGAGCAGGTCTTCTCCTGTCACTGAGATTGTTATCTTCTTTGTCATTGTGGGTGATGTTCCTTTTTGAAAAGTTGCCCATTTGCAACTTCTTACACACTGCTACTCTGTACTAGCGAAAAATGCTTTTTGATTAAGTAAGATTTAAGTTTAATTAAGTAAGATTTATTTAGTAAATCATCAGGAACATTTACTGAACAGTGTGAAATGTTTCAGTACCTTTGTTCTTGGGTGGCAAACTGAAGTCCTTGATTGTGCAAGAACCAACGTGTTCATTTAATTTTCAGCTACTAGTAGACATCACCCAGCTGCCTGGGCTACTCTGATATTTGCCAGTTTTTGCTTTTCCGATTTTCACCATGAGATACCTTTCTGAGCCTTTGTGCAGTTTCTCATGTAGTTTTGCATCCTACGTTAGTCTGAATTGGTGCCTGAAGCTTGAAGACAGCTTAGATAGTTCTACAAAAGCTGTAATATCACCCTGTCTGAAGCATGGATATGCTCTAGTGTGGGCTTAACACTGCATCTTAGAAAGTATTTTCAATTTGTAATTCAGATATCCATTCTGAAAACACTTTCTTAAATTTGTCACAATTTCATGAACTTAGAGTAAGCAATTGATTTTGAAGGGACAAGGCTTAATTGGTCCAGAGTTTTGTTTTATCGGAAATGACAATTAAAGAAAATATGAGGAATTCTTAGTAAATAATACGTGAAAAATTAGTTTCATGTAGTTTTAAAAATAGTGCATTAAAAAATTCTTTTTGTCTTAACCAGAGTTATGTTTCACTTCATAGCGGTGCAGTAATGTCATTTTCTGAAACGGCATATTTAGTTTCTTGTTAGTGGTCAATGGCAGCTCTGAAAACTCTGGTATTTTAGAATGGATTTATAACAAGGTTTGTTAATGATGTACTAAAGTTAACCTTATATTTTATTATTTCAGTTGTTCATGGTGGACAATGGAGCAGATGACTGGAGAATAGCCATGACTTATGAGCGTATTTTCTTTATCTGCTTGGAAATACTGGTGTGTGCTATACATCCCATACCTGGGAACTATACATTCACATGGACAGCCCGGCTCGCCTTTTCTTACGCTCCATCCACAACAACAGCTGATGTGGATATTATTTTATCTATACCAATGTTCTTAAGACTATATCTTATTGCCAGAGTTATGCTTTTGCATAGCAAACTTTTCACTGATGCCTCATCTAGAAGCATTGGAGCATTAAATAAGATAAACTTCAATACCCGTTTTGTTATGAAGACTCTAATGACAATATGTCCAGGAACTGTACTGTTGGTTTTTAGTATCTCGTTATGGATAATTGCTGCATGGACTGTCCGAGCTTGTGAAAGGTAAGGTTGTTCTGTTTGTTTCATTCTTTCTTGTGTCTTTCTGGTTTTCTCTCTTGTTTTGCCTCTTCACTTTTGGATTCAGGGGACCTAAATATTTAACGGAAGGGAGGTTCCAGGTCCTTGATATTTTGAATGTTGGTTGGGTTGTATTCTGTGTCACAGATTGTCAGGAATGCTTTGCCTTTTAATCTGAAGGACTTCTGCAGAGAGGTTTGTGCCATGCTGTTTACTGTAGCATTGTGATTTGATTTCAGTGTTTTGATGTAACTTCAGGTATGATTGCTAAAACATAGTGGACAGATACCATAAAATGTCATTAAGAGAAGTTGTTGATATTCTGCATTGATATCAGCTTTCATTTATTTCATTTGTAAGTTAAATTTATTGAGGATAAAGTAGGTAAAATGGCCTTATAAAATTCCAGTGGAAAATGTTTGGGGTTTTTTTAATTTGAGTTTTGTTATCCTGTTAAAAAAAAAAAAGTGCAAAATATTGTTGGGGAGTTGGCAAGCTCAAAAAAGGGGAACAGGCAGAACAGTTACAGTAATAACTCTTTTTTCTTCCCCTAAAGATCAGAAAAACTTCATTTGAGAGGCAGACTTTCATTCATTCCAGCTAGTTTTCCAACCTCCCCCTCCCACAGACTTCACTGTAGGTGCAGAATAAATGGCTATCGGTGCTGACAGCTTGAAATTGAATTTCTCAAATGTAGCTTTAACAAAAAAGAAATGAGCTTCTGATTGGATAGGATTGCTTAGGAATATACGATAAGTTAACTCTAAGGAGACAATTAGGATGATTCTCTTTGAAAGATTTAATGTCTGGCACAGATCTTCAATCCTGTCATGAATTTCTCCTTACTTAAGCTGGAAGATCTTCAACATATTTAAGGCATTTTTGCTGCTGGTTTTTGACCATTTTGTTTTTCCTTTTTCTTTCCATGTCTGCCCATTTTAGAAGCAGTTTAGGAGAGTTACTTGTGAAAGCTAGCCGATTTAAATCAGCAGTTAAATTGCACACCAACTGTTATGTTACTTTCAGAAGTTATTCCTTGCATTACTTCTCAATTTGTTATAAAGAAAAATAGCTGATCTTATAAACTGAGTATAAAGATCATGTTGACATTGTAGTTTTTATTGTTAAAATTGGCAGCATTGTGGAATGTAGTTTGTTACAGTAGATGCTTTGTGTCAATGTTGTTTCCTCGTGTTATGGCAAGACTAATCATTTAAGAATGTTCTGAAAATGCCACGTTAACAGTGACTCTTGTGGCTTAACCTGGCGGGCAGCTAAACACCACACAGCCCTTTGCTCACTCTCCCCCTCCCTGTGGGGTGGCGGAGAGAATCGGAAAAAAAAGTAAAATTCATGGGTTGAGATAAAGGCTGTTTAATAGGACAGAAAAGGAAGGGGGAGGGGGGCGGGGGGGAAATATACAAAGCAAGTGATGCACAGTGCAATTGCTCACCACCTGCTGACTGATGCCCAGCCAGTCCCCAAGGAGCAGCAATCGCTGCCCCCCAGCCAACTCCCCCCAGTTTATATACTAAGCATGTCGTCATATGGTATGGAATAGCCCCCTGGCCAATTTGGATCAGCTGTCCTGGCTGTGCTCCCTCCCAGCTTCTTGTGCACCTGGCAGAGTATGGGAAGCTGAAAAGTCCTGACTAGTGTAAACACTACTTAGCAACAACTAAAACATCCGTGTGTTATCAACATTCTTCTTCAACTAAATCCAAACCACAGCACTCTGTCAGCTACTAGGAAGAAAATTAACTCTATCGCAGCTGAAACCAGGATAGTGACATACTCTAGTTTTAAAATATTCCCCATAGTGGGAGCAGATGGAGTACTCTAGATATTGACTGAATCTAGAATAGTTGTGTTTTAGTAAGCATGTTCTGGTTTCAGATGTAACTGACTTCTGCAGTCTCTCCTCTTTGTGTCACATTCTTCACCTCTGTTCCCACCAGTTTTCTTTCAACAGAATTACTGCTCAGGAATTCCTGGGTGTCTACTCAAGCATTTCCCAAATCACTTGTGAAGTGGTTCACAACTTCATATAATAACTTCAGCATCCATTGCTGTCACTGTTTTACATATCATAGAACTGGTTATTAATATATATGTATTATTATTATTATTAAAAAGTAGCATTAAATAGTCACTGTGTTATTAACTTTTTAATAGATGCACATTCAAAATAAGCTTATAAAACTTGTGCCTCTCACAGTGAAAATTACTGAAAAATAACTGAGGCACTTCTGCATTCCTGTGATCCTGGGAAGATGCTTATTTGCTTGGTCAGGTACATTGAACTCAGGGCTGCGAACAAGGCTGAATTTTCTTCAACTCTCTGCTAAACCAGTAATGGATTTTCCACATTTTAATTTGCAGTTGCTGTCCTTGAAGTGATGGTAATGGTTTGGACAGCAAGCTGGATAGCCACTGACTCCTCTAAAACTGAAACAAAACACAATTAACAGCAAGTTAAATACAGAAGTATGAGAGTAATATGTCTCTAGCATAATTACCTTCTGTCAATGGAGCCCAGTCCAAGATTATGTTCCTTCACATTTAACAAAATTGTCCATTTTATGTTTCAAAAACACTAAAAGGGATATATTCTGGCTTTGGGAATTAGATACTTGTGTCATTCATGCAGGTTGCACAGCCAATTTTGCATGTTTTGCATCAGATCTTTTCTTGAGGGAATACGCAAGTATTTTGCCAAATGAATGATACTGGCCCTGGATTCCAGTTACTAATTAGTCCACCAAAAACCTGTAGATCCATAGCCCACAGAGAAGTACATTTTTAAACAAAGCTCTCAGAAGAAAACCCCAAAACCCAACACATCAGAATGCTCTTAACACTCTGCCATCTGAAGCTAAACATCCCTTTTTGTATAGCTGGAGACAGATATAATGGCCATTTGTCATGGGAAAGGACAAACATGGCCACTGAATCCATTTTGTGCTGCACAAGAGGTCATAGTCCTCAGAAGATATCTGCTGAGATCTTAGTGGCTTTGATTTGCTCAGAAGTTAGAAGTTTCATTTATAGAAATAAAATACATTTCATTCATCTGCTCTTAAGTTGATTTTTTTTTTCCTCAGTTTTAACTAGAGGGAATCGTTATTTGTTGGAATAGACTATTTTATGTACACAGAATGATCCTGAAAATAAATGTTTTCATTAGAAGGAATGTTTGCTATTCCGCTTTACAGTATATGTGAAACCCTGATGAATTTTGATACATTTAGCAGAAATTAGGAATTAAGAAACAGTCTGTTGGCTTTTTTCTGATGAGGGTGGATGTAAATGAATGAAATTTGATGGTGTTAAACAGGTCTCAGCATCACTTTAGCACCAAGCTCTTTAATTTATGGCATATAGTAGTTTTACATAAAGCTTTGCCCTAGCAGTTTTAGTATTTCTTCAGTGTATCAGTTAGCTGCGTCAGTTAGCCATCCAGTTGGAACAAGATGATGGTGATAAGATTGAATAGATTAAAATATGAAAATTTTGAAATGGAGATGAAACATTCTCATGTTATTCCTTGTCCTCAGTGAGGGTAGAACTCGAAGTAGGCAGTGTCCTTACTGTGAGTTGTGTGTGCTGAGCAAAAGCTGTTTCTGCTGAATGACAGCCTGATTTTGAGACTGTTGTTCTATTCGAAGTCAGATTTTTCTCATTAGAGGCTGTCCTGGGAATAGGAACAGAGATTTGGAAGCACCACATTTCATAGCAAGGAGAGTAACATGAAAAAGCATCATTATCCATCTCTCTAAGGAAAACCCTGTAGAGACAGGTTATGGGTTGAGGCAAGCAAGTTGACCATCTGAATAAAGGCTTCACTGCTTTAATGGTCATCTGACTGATCACTTGATAAACACTGAACTAAGGCCCAGCATGTGCCTTTCTCAGTGCCTTAATGGCTGTATTGTTAGCTCCCAGAATGCTAATTATAGCAAGTGACACTTTGGGTTGGTGAGCAAGGTATTTTCCAGGATTGCAGTTTAAGGTCATCCATGAGTGCAGAATGTAGTACAGATAATGATGGTGGGCCGTCAGCTGAGTATAAAGGGGTTGCTAGGGCTGCAGAGTAATCCGGCTGAGGGAGTTCAGGAGGAAGAGGTGGGGAAAGCACGGAGGTGTTGCTGGATACACAATGCCAGAAACTCTTGTTTTTTTATTGCTCAGGTTTTTATGTCTGTTTTGAGGGGAAGATTACATTACATAGGTTTTAATATCTGCCTTTTCATTGCCAGCATCAGGATATTGCTGCCTGTCATACGTGGGCTTCATAATGAAAATCTAAATTTTTTATTAGGTCTAACTCAATAGATGTTTGTGTTTATAACATCTCTGAGGCACATGATCTAGAACACCTATGAATACATTACTTTCGTATATGGATTATGAGCCCTGTAAGCAGATTACTTTTTGCAGTCTGATCTTGTTAATGAAATAGCTCTGTGCATGGTTATCAGTTGTTTATAGCAGTTAAAATAGAACTATTTGGTTTCTCAAAAAAAAAAAAAAAGGATAATATGCACAGCATTATGTCATTGAAAAGTCTGATAAATTTGCTTCACTCTTCTGGAGAGGACCTGTCTCTTCTGTGAGAAGTGGTCCGCTTTTCTAGGATATGTAGAAGGTAGTTGCTCTTGCTGATCTTTTATTTTTTCTGTGCAAAGGAAGAAAGAACCTTGTCTTCTGAATGCACATATGGCTATAACGTGCCCATGTGTCAGGGCAACATGAGCCGCATGTGGCCACGTTACACTGTTGTACGTCCAGAACGGCTCATATCACATGCCTGGAGTTACTGTGGATTTACAGCAGCAGAACTGAGAACAGAAGTGGATTTTCTGCTTACCCAGAGAGCACGTTTTTGGCACCATTTTTGGTTCTGTTTGTACCTCTCTCTAACTTCTGACAATGAAGTCAGTTCAGATTGAGTGGTTTGTTTAGTCAGCATGTCTTCCTCCCAT